GGCGCCCAGTGTCTTTATCTTCTTAATGACTGCATAATATTCCACTGTTAGGTTGTCCCACACCTGCTATCCCTCTATAGAAAGATATTTAGGTTGACAGATTTTTTTGCTATTATACATAACCCTGCAATGCATGTCCCTATACCCATATGCTTACATTTATGACGATTTCTGGGGAAGACACTGCTAGATTTGGAATTGAGTCAAAAAGTATGTATAGAATCAGGGTATCAACCGAATTAGGGATTGGTCTGGTGCTTTGTGTACATTAAAATCTTCATTTTGTGATTTGACTACTACTCATGCCTTGTGTTGTAATCCTTATTTTGCTTTATTTTCTCTTAAAGATCATCATAAGTATTCTTTTTCCACCCACCATTCTGTCATTGGAATTTAAGAGCAGAGCAGAGATGTCCCATGTTCCCCAGTCCCAGGACTTCCAGTTTGCGTGGTATTATGGCGACCAGAACCCCAGCGCAAAAGAGAATGCTTATATGGTTAGTACGATATCATAGTGAGCTCAGTTTTCATGATATTGACTGCACACCAACATACACATGCACAGAGTTTGCTTATTAAACAACGTATTTAATGATCTTAATCATATTATCTGTGATTGGGTATAGCATGTATGATACATCTAATTAACCCCCATATATGATTAAGCAAAATATCCCATTTCTTTGGGAAAGAATGTCTTTATTATATCTTGACAAATGTTTAACTTTTCATTTTCCTTTGTGACTAGTAGAATAAATAGAGTTACTATTTCTCGAAAGTGACAATGAGGCCAGGGGAGCCTGGGTGGCCCAGTCGGTTAAGCGTCAGACTCTTGATTTTGGCTCAGGTCATGATCTCAGGGTTGTGAGATCAGCCCTGCATCAGGCCCTGCGCTGGGCATGGAGCCTGTTTAAGATTGTCTCTTTTCCTCTCCCTTGGCCCCTCCCCCTCCTCTCTCCCTCTCTAAAAAAAAAAGAGAAAGAAAGAAAGAAAAGAAAAGAAAAAAAGGAAGTTATAATGAAGAATGCCTCATATCCTTAAAAATATTTGTAAAGGTTCAGGTTTAGGTTTTGCATTATCTTCACTGTTCCACTCCACAATTTTTTTTTTTTTCATTTGTTATATCCTGTGACCAAATAATTTTACTTGAGTTCCCGGATGTATATGTTTTCCTGAGTAATTTGAACTATGCTTTTGCAACCTGTCTTCACTGGAGAGTCTCCAGGATGCTGTCTGCGCATGTATTTTTTGCTTTTTATGTCTCAGCGTGTATCATTACTTATAAACGTATTACTGTAGGTGCAGTGAATGTCTTCCCTGGTATTTAATACTTTAATGAGGCATCTTTAGCATCTTGTTGGATATGCTTTTGCACTTGTGAAGTATTTGTGACAATATTTAAAAATGCACTCAAGAAGTATTAAATGAAAAATAAGTAATTATAATTAGTTTGTATGGCTGACATCTGTTGTGATTGGGTGAGCATCCATTCTAATTGGTTAATGCCTTTACCAGATCAGTTGTTAAGTATTTTGACTATCGTGCCTGCCTGGGTATATATGTATTCCTATCCTCTACCCTCTCCCCCTTCCTTCCATCCTCACTTTACTAAGCCTGATGGTTCTATCTGGGATTCTCAGAATACAAGATGGCAGGTACATTCTAACTTCTGTGGAATGTGTAAGCAATTATCTTACAAACTGGGCTAATCAAGTTGTTACAATTGTGATTGTACTGGCTAAATGATATGGTTAATAAGCTTAGACCATTTCAAAAATTTTTAAAGGAAAGATAAGAAATGCAGTGTTGACTTAACACCTTTACAAATAAAATGAAGTCTTTATATGTGAGATATTTTGTTTGATTTTGCTTATTTATACGTTAACATTTAGTTTGTTGAAATGAAAAATGGAGAGAGTTGCCTTTCTAGGCAGATAAACCTACCTACCTGTCTATCTATCTATAAACAAATATGTAAATATGTTGGCAGTTGGTAGCAAATAGTACTTTGTAAGTGGATGTAACTTCACTTCTGGTTTCTTTTTTTTTTTTTTTTTAAAGATTTTATTTATTTATTTGACAGAGAGAGACATAGCGAGAGCAGGAACACAAGCAGGGGGAGTGGGAGAGGGAGAAACAGGCTTCCTGCAGAGCAGGGAGCCCGATGTGGGGCTCGATCCCAGGATCCTGGGATCATGACCTGAGCCGAAGGCAGATGCTTAACGACTGAGCCACCCAGGCGCCCTCACTTCTGGTTTCTACAAGGTTCATGGAAAGATAAGCTCTCACAAACACTTAAGGCATTGTAGATGGCTGGAACATTTCACTAAGTAGTTGTTCTTAAAGGGAAGCTTTTAGAGAAGGAAGTCCTTCCTTAAATGGCAAATAATGTGCTTTTAACATTAAAAAATATAGTAAGTTCTCACAGTTCCCTGAAAAATCAAACTTTGGCTGTAATGTAGTGGTCCTGTTTATGACTTTGCCCACCTGGATGGCTTGGACATGACCATATTGATTTATTAATTCGTTGAATATTTAATGGCCACCGTCCATGTGCCAGACAAGATACGATGTTCCGGATCACTGCAGTAACTAAGGCAGATGTGACCCCTGCCACCATGAAGCTTATAATCAGAGAGAATATCCATGATAGATACCTCAGCATTATCCAGTTTAAAGCTTTTATTAAAAAGTGTCTCAAACCTGCTCTGTTATGCATGGATTATAATCATGGTAACAGTGTTCTTTTGTTTTTGAGTTTAACCAGAGCAATAGTTTTTGATTACCTGCTGTGTGTTTGGAATGTTGCTAAGCAGAGAGGAGGGGTGATATCAGCATGCGACATGGAAGATTTCACAATGCTGATTAAATATGATGTGCTCGATTAGTTGAGGAATACAATTTGTGTTACATATTTTGGGAGGAAAGTGAAGACAGGTAAGACCTAGATGTTCTTTTAGCATGTCTTCATGCTCTGACCCTGTAGTAGTAGTGGGTGGTAATGAATACAAGGAAAGCACCACTGGTAATTGGAGAAGGAAGGCCATTGTCCTGAAACTGGATGGACTCAACTTCTGCATTTGCCTCCTGAGGTTTCACAAAAAACCTTACTGAAGCCTCTACAGGCAAAAGAACTTTGCCATGAGAACTCCCAATCTTTCTAGCTGCTAATCCTTTGAAAGCATGACTTTTGAGGACATGAGCTTTCTCAGGAACAGATTGTAGCGAGATGGCAGAATGGCTGAACTAGAGGAAGAAGAAGATTCTTCTCATTTGGTGTCAGTCAGCGAGGATTACAGATTGGTGGCAGCTTCATGCATGAGGTGGTGGATAAGCTGAGACTTGACGACGTGTGGAAATAGCATTTCTGTGGGAAGACAGTAAGTAGGGGTATAGAGGCAGGAAATGCAAGGCACCTGTCAAGCATTGTAAGTTCTATGGTTTGGCTAGAGTCCAGGTTGTAGTGGATATGGGACAAGGAGGGAATATTTGCAGGTATGGCTGGGACAGTAGATTGAGGCTAGATCATAGAGACTTGTATATCTTATGAAGGAATGTGGTGTTTTTTCTGTAGGTAATGGATAGCCAGTGGATGCACATGACCAGAGTAGCAAGATGATCTGACCACTAGGAAAATTATTCTGTCTCCAGTGTATAGGATGATGTAGCAAGACGATAGGCTGAAAGCAGGGAGAGCATAGACAGGTGTAACCATCCAGATGAGGAGGATTAAGGAATTTGGCCAGAGTTGGTAGCAATGGGCATGGAGAGGAAAAGAGAGATCTTAAGTGAAGAGTCGGATAATGTTTGAACATGGGGCACAGATGAAAGGAAGATAGAAAATATGACCGAGAGGTTGATGGTTAAAACAAGGCCATCTTGAAGGGATACGGGGATGATTGGAAAAGGAGCAGGTTTGGAAGGAGAAAGACAAGTTTAGTCTTAGACATGTTGATAAACCACAATGAAAAAGTATTTTCTAAAGTTGAACAATAATCTATTTTATCAGAACATCATTAAGTGGGAATGACGATAGTTATAACAATGGAAAATAGGTATGAATTGTGGTAGAGGTGATTGTTGTAGTTATAATTTTATTCTGTGTGCCTGCTGATCAGATTCTTGTTAGAAAGAGGAGGGAGAGAGGACAGGGGAGAGAGGAGAGGGCTAGGGGAGAGGGAGGGAGGGGGAGAGAGAGAGAGAGTTTGATTATATTGAGATTTGAGTCGAATAAAAGCTAGTTAAGTGAAATATTTCTGTGTTTACCTTCTTCTAAGGTGGGGGGAGGGGGGCAGATGTCCTGAATCTGAATTTATATTCTTACATTGTCTTCATCATGGTAGTTGGTGTCTTGGAGTTCAACTCAGAGAGAGGCTTAATTAGAACTTTATAATCCATACCAAACTGTCAAGAGTAAGTAACACCTAATGAGAAACTCCTAGAAAAAAATAATAAGAGAAGTTATTTAATTTACACAGTCATTACTAAAATTGCTTTCTGGGGTCTTTTTGAAGTGGTACTGATGTCATTGAAATCACAGTAAATGATGACTTTTCTCATTGGTTCTAAGCTGTTTTAACTCTAGGCAGGTTCAAACCTGTTAGGAACCAGGTCAGTTCCTACACCTTCAGGTCACAATGCCAATTTCACTGCCCAAAATGATGTGAATGACAGCAATCAGGCACTGAGATGGCCCATTCCAATGCCTGAAGCCTCAAAAATTACATTTGATCAGTTTTATGGACAATTCAAGCAACACTTGCTTTATTTCTTGGCTTGTAAAATCTTACCAGTCTTGCAGGTGTGACACTAGAGAGACATCTTTTGTGGATAGGTTGAAGAAAGGTACTCATCTAAGAGGCATCAGAGAACATTCCTTTCTTTTAATATTTTTTCAGATCACACAAGTAGTGGATTTCCTGTTTAAAGATTAGAACCACACAGAGCTCTATAAACTGGGGTGACTTCTCTTTTGCTTCTCTTTTACCATCCCTAAGTTCCCTCTTTCCAGAAGCAACCGGGCTACAAGTGATTTTCTTTTCTTCTTTTCAGTTCTTTCCTCCCTCCTTGCCCCCCCCCCCCGACTTTTAAAGGCTTTTCTCTGTGCACACCTGTGTAGTCCATCACACAACCACTTGTCTGCCACAGAGATACTTACTGCTCATCATCTACAAGGATTAACTAACCTCTTCGGACTGACATACACATTTTGAGAAACTGATGAAAGATTTGATGCTTTCCCTAGGAAAATGCATGTACAACAAAAATACTTGCATGTAGTCACAGGAGGTTCAGGGAACCCTGGAAGCTCTGACAGTTCATGAACTTCAGGCAAAGCATGTCTGCTATCCAAGCCAGAATTCTAAAACTAATGCTGTGCCTGACTTTCCTAGGAATTGGAAACTATATCACTAATGGGTGTCCATTTTGTCCTCCTCTATTATGGAAATAATTTTATTATCTGTTAATGATTTCATGGGGATTTTATGATATTTTTAGGTTCTAAAATACCGATAAAGGAGACTAAGCAGAACAGGAACAGGGACAATTTTTAAATCCTTGGAACTATTCTTAGTTTGACTAGGTTTCCTGGTTAGAGACTTAGCTTGCATTTTGAGAGATATCCTGTGCTCCTTACTTAAAAGCCAAAGATTTACACAATACACATAGTTTTCTTTCCTTCCAAAACTAAGATTATAATTTGGCAGGTGGGTGCCCAATTAATTCCTAATATATTTATTATATTCATATATATTTATACATATATATGATGTATTTTGGATGTTTGCAAATGTCAGTATCTTACTTAAGGCTCTGACAATGAGTGATTATTTATTTTGCAGAAAGACTGTGATTTGGAAAGAGGCCCCGATGAGAAACTAGATGAAAATCACCATTTTGATTTAAAGAGCAATCCCCAAAGCCTTCCATGGACCAGGAAAATCTATGAGTTCTACAATGCTCCAATTGTCAAGTTTTGGTTTTATACGGTTGGTCTCATTGCAGCAATTAATATAGTCTTTGTGCTGGCCAATAGTCGATCATGATTTTGATAATGATATGCCTGGTTTGCCAACTTGTGATAAAATGTAGAAATGCAGGGAGAAAAAAAAACCAAGAATGACAAAGAGGGTAGGAAAGAAGAAGATTGGAGGGAGGTGAGGAAAGGTTAGAGCAGATCTCTCCCACTATGGGATTGAAAGAACAAGCACTTTCTTCTTTCCTGAGTGCTTCCCATTAGCTCTGCTGGGACCGAGTACTTGAAACTTTGTGGAACAAGCAGTTAATGACAGTGGTTGTAGAATTAAGTGATGGGGTGGATTCTTTTCTCATCTTGGGCAAAGAAATCAGCAGTTGAATTGATTTATTATTTGGTAGGAATAATGTGTAATATAGACAAAAATTGCAAAGTGTTTGCTTTTTGTCTTCAATAACATGATTATAAATACGTAGAGGACAATAACATTTTATTTTATTTTATTTTATATTTTCCCCTCTGACACCCTCCCCCCCCACCTTTTTGAGGACAATAAAATTGTAGAAGTTAAATTTATGAACAAATACTACATCTAATATTGATCATAGTGATACAGAGAAATCATGAACTGCACTTTAAATGCAATGAGTGCTTTTCACATTTATTTAATGGCATTTATTTTTTTAATGCTTATATATACTTTAAATTGCTCGTGGCCAAGATTGTGTATTTCTAAAACATTTGAAGTGTGATTATAAAAGGACATTTATCTAAATGTGTTGTATTTCAAAATATTTACTCGCCTATCCAAATTTTTATTGCATACATTTATTAAATATGTATATTGCTTTGTTTTCAAAAATCAAATCTTCCTTCAAATGATGAGGTTTTACCATTTTTGTGAATATGCAACAAAATATCCTAAAGGCTCTGATAGTAGCTTCAAGAGATTAACTGTAGTCACATCACTGGGAAAAGAGTATGCAAGTATTTCTTTTTTTTTTTTTTTTT